TGTTCTAGTTTTAGGGAAATGCGAAGTTTAGCTCAGGATAGGAAGGAGTGGAGGTACGTGTCGAATCAGTCTTAGGACCTTATGATGATGATGATTGATTGTAAATAAAATTCTCGTATTTTGAATCATAATTTAACCAAGTTACTTACATTATAGGAAAAATAAAAGATAAATACATATTTCATAATATTATAAAAACCGCTAAAAAGTGACGCTCAAGGAGTATTTGAGAAATTTTCAATTTTTTCTACTTTTTCAACTAATATAGATCCACAATATTTCAAGAAAGGAAGGTCAAAAAATAGGAAATTTTAGCAGCATTACATTTTTTATTTCATGCTATATATTGTCCATTGTTATCAGTTTCCTATATAATTTAAACTTGTGCTGTTGGATTAACGGCTTGATTAACAATTCTCGAAACTCTCCGCCCAAGATCATCATCAATTTTCGTAAGTTCCATAATCGTACGTTCGATAACACGTTCCGTACACCGTCTTAGAGTAAAAGCGATATTATTAGCACAAGTTTGCCTTTGTTGTTCATTGAACACCTCCCTATAAAGCACCCCCGGTTGCTGGTAGTTATCCTCAACTATCGAATCGATCTGAACGATCTTATCGCAGAGTCGTCTGTCAGGAAATAGTTGAGCAATTCTCGGGTCCACTTCCGGACCGTTAAAACTGTTCGGGTGGTAAACAGGGGCGCCGTTTTGATTGTTTATCACCTGTCCCCCGTCTCTCATGTAGTTCTTGACGTAGTGGGGCGCATTCACAGGCAACTGAAGATAGTTCACACCAAGACGGTGTCTTTGGGTATCTGCGTATGCTATAAGCCGAGCCTGCAACATCCGGTCAGGTGTAGCCGCGATTCCTGGAATAAAGTGGGCCGGATTGAACGCAAGCTGCTCGATCTCCGCGATATAGTTGGAGGGATTCCTGTTCAAAGTCATCCTTCCGACGGGGATGAGAGGAAAATCTTTTTGAGGTAGAACTTTGGATACGTCAAACAAATTGAAAGGTAATTCCGCGGCTTGTTGAGGAGTACACACCTGGATGTAGAGGTTCCATGATGGATACTCGCCCCGATGGATGGCGTTGTAGAGATCTCGGATAGAATAATCTGGATCTTGTCCCTCCAGTTGGAGAGCCCTTTGAGCTGTCAAGTTTCGCACCCCTTGGTTGGTTCTGTAGTGAAATTTGCAGTACGTAATCTGCCTGTCAGCATTGATAAGCATATAAGTATGGGAACTGAACCCATGCATGTGTCTGAACCCATCCGGAGTACCTCTGTCTCCATGCTCGTAAATGGTCTGATGAAAACACTCGGGACGTAAGGAGATGAAGTCCCAGTATTGATCCCAGTCGGGCAGGTATGTAACAGGATTACGCTTTTGACTTCTGATAAAACTGATGAAGGCTGTTACATCCCTTGTGAAAAATATGGGGGTGTTGTTGCCCACCATGTCGTATATGCCATCCTCAGTGTAATATTTGACCGCAAAGCCCCGCGGATCTCTTCGCGTGTCGGGCGAACCCCTTTCGTAGATAACAGTAGAGAAACGAGCTGCTAAGGGCGTCTTCTTACCGACGCTTGTAAAAATCCTTGCAACTGTGTATTGACTGATATCGTTGGTGCATTCGAAATAGCCAAATGCACCACTACCCTTTGCGTGTACAACCCTTTCCGATATACGTTCGTGAGTCCAATGAGTCAACTGATCGAACATGGCATAATCTTCGATAAGGGTGGGTCCCCGAAGCCCAATCGTAACGCTCGAATCATGGTTGGCAATGGGATTTCCGCCAGTGTTTGTAATGATGCCTCTAGAACCATACTAAAAACAAATAGGAAATAAGAAAAAGTACTGAAGAAAGTTTTATTTGTATGCGAGCTATGGGTATGTTTCTTCTATGATACAGAGTAGTGTTCGTTTCAAGAAGTTAGAGATATGCCCTTTCCCTTTATTAGGATGCGCCGTAGCATAATTCCAAATTCAATCATATTTGTCTGCGGAGCTCATTTCTCCACCGATCATCGAGCGAGAACTAGACAAAAGTGTACAGTAACATTTGCAAAATTATTTAAACTGCCTCGTTAAAATTTAAGAATATGCTTTATTTAAAAGCATATTTAGCCTAAAATAATAACAAGTGAGTTAACTTAACGTTCTACTATGCTTTGTTTTCTATTGTTAATTTATATACATTTTTGTTTAAAGAAATTGCTAAACATTTTCGTCTAGTACTGTACAGTTCTAGCCGATCTCCATCGAGAGCTCTGCTCGTTCAAGCTTGTTCCAACTATTTCTGTCTTGCTCACGCCTAGTGTGTATTCTATCTATCTTCGCGCAGATTTCTTTAAGGTCACAATTCTAACATATTGAAATGGGCTGTAAAAGTCTTTTTTAGACCTTCAGCTCCATTTATAAAAAGAAACAAAAATTGTGATCCCACTGTTCTAAGAGTTTGATTGATATTATTTTAAAAATGAACATTATTTTGTGATTTCTACCTTACAAATTTTTTTTTGTATACTCTGCCCCTTTTGTCAGAAAAAAATAAGAAACAAGAAAATCAACTCTATAAGTTTGCATCCATAATTACATGAACGAAAACCCCCTGGGGGGTATCAATAGAAAAGTCCGTGGTATCTTTATGGTTATTTATACTGAATAATGTTATAATTATTTACTTACCTCTTTACTTGCTGCATATTCTGTTAGTTGTTGTGCCGCTTCATCACGCACTAAGGGTCCCGACATTTTTCGGACAAAAAAGAAATCTGTTTCAAAAAGACGATCAACAAATGTCGAACATGATATCCGACGTTCTCATATATATAACCCCAACATGTTTTTTTTGTAGATTAAATCTGTGGTTATATGAGGAAATTAGGAAGTAAACGTTAGGTTTTAACCGAATGATAACCGTTCATTGGCTCAAAAACAAATTTTTAGTGATTATTTGCTATTCCTGTATTTTTGCTAAATAGAGTTGAAAAAACATTGCGCACTGCTTTAATATGTACGATTGTTATAAGTGGGCATTGTTATAAAGATAGGATACTCTTCATATGCAGTTATTCCCCGATAAACTATTTAAACACATATGTCATTTCAACTTTACCTTTATGTCACTCGCTAAAACCTTATTTTGATGCCTGTAAGATCGAATGAAAATAGTTGTTTTGAAAATTTGCTCGTAGAAACAAGACAGACTAACAAAAGAGGCAGGATGACTTTGTACAATACTACACACAAAAATGTTCTTTGGTGGAGGCAAGGGGTGGGGCCGGAAGGGTTGTAAGTGATATTTGAAATACTACAGATGAAATATGTGATATACCCAACGATGGGTGCTCCAGTGCAAATTTCGGTGCTATAATTGTAGTAATTGTACTAGCTAGATGTGTAGATTAAGATATTTCTTCGAAAATATACCATCGATCGAGTTCTTATATAACAGTAGAGAAATTAACATACTGCCCTCAATAACGTAATTTACGTTTATAATTTTTAAAAATTGCTGTTAAAACGGTTTTTTAAACCCAATCAATTTGTTATCATCTGTATTATACCTATGTAATTGTGTAATGCAATAATCCTAAGCTAGATATAGTGTAAAACATCTGTACCTAATAAAAATTAAAATATTTTGATTTAAAATTTAATGCAAAATTATTTTTCTACAACAATTTTATTAAAATATTAATATTAATTTATAATTTATTAGGGTACAATCACGTCATTAAAATTTGATTTGAAAAAATTGTTAGTGTGAAGAGCAATTACACCTCCTATGTTCTTGCTTGCTTATTAGCAAAGTTGTAACTGATTGTTTATTTATTTGTTTTATCATGATTACTTACACAGTCGAAGTATGTTATGTAAATTTTTCTACTTTAAATAGAAGAATCTGTTTGCTTTTAAAATGCTAAATAAATATTTTTATATATTTATAGACAACTAATATCTACAATATTTCAAGAAAGGAAAGTCAAAAAATAGGAAATTTTAGCAGCATTACATTTTTTATTTCATGCTATATATTGTCCATTGTTATCAGTTTCCTATATAATTTAAACTTGTGCTGTTGGATTAACGGCTTGATTAACAATTCTCGAAACTCTCCGCCCAAGATCATCATCAATTTTCGTAAGTTCCATAATCGTACGTTCGATAACACGTTCCGTACACCGTCTTAGAGTAAAAGCGATATTATTAGCACAAGTTTGCCTTTGTTGTTCATTGAACACCTCCCTGTAAAGCACCCCCGGTTGCTGGTAGTTATCCTCAACTATCGAATCGATCTGAACGATCTTATCGCAGAGTCGTCTGTCAGGAA